TTCCTTGGCGTATAGGTGTTCTTGTGTGCTTTAAATTAATGTTGGTTGCTTCAAATTATTCTTTCTTCATTTACACATATCATTCATTTTTCTTTCAATTTCAAATATTCCCTGCCCAAAGATGTTAAATAAATTTGCCACTAATTTCCCATAACAGCTGTTGGTCTCTTTTTGATATTCTATAATACATTAGCAAGTCCTCAGGAATTGAGTGCAACCTGCAGCATGGGAGCTGGTAGGGAAACCATTCCAAGTGGATGCAACCAGAATGTGGTCAACTCTTGACTGCTCTGTGAAACTGCCTAGCAAGCCACTCAGTTGAAGAATAATTTAAGATTGGAAACAAATGCTAGCCTGGCCAGTCACACCCGTATCCTTTTCAAGAGTAAAGAAAGTGATGATCTGGATGGCTATTATTAGATAGGTAAGAATTAAACAAGGAAGCGCAGTGCCATCAAGGGGATGCCAGTGAAGAGGATGATGTGACCAATAGTGTCAAAGGTTGCATACAAGTCAAGGAGGATGAGAAGAAATAGTTTATCTTTGACACTGTCACACAGAATGATATTTGTTACTTTGATAAGAGCCATTTCGGTACTGCAGAAAGGATGGAATTAATTAGAAGGACACAAACATGAAGTTCTAGAAGAGATAAGCATGGATTATGAGGTAATAACATATGCAATGATTTCAGAGAGAAAAGGGAGATTGAAATATAAGGTGCCAGAAAGATATCAAAATAAGTGACTTTATAATTTTTATTAGTTAAACCAACTCCCTGCTTTGATATTTAATGGCTCCAACATTAGTGCTCATATCAAAATCCTTGTACTTACCATTCCCTCTGAACTATGGCTGCCTCGAATGGCTTTGTGCATTCTAAAGTACGTCTTTGTACTTCAAGTCATTTTTCTATTTTTTGGGGGAGTCCTTACATGAAAATTGGCTACCATTTGCCCACATAACCAGTGACTATCCTTCAAACATAAGTAATTGGCTGAGAGACGAAAACCACAGAATCCAAGGTCAGTTAGTCCAATATATGTTTTTTTGGAACATATATTAGAGTCAATACAGCCCTTTATGTTGTTTGATTGTTAATGGACTATGCAAGTAAATGGGAGAGGCTTACAGTTTCACAATAGCTACAAGGCTAGTTGAAATTGTAAAATGTTAGTCATTATGGAAAATACCCAACTGATCATATAATAGGGACTTTGTGTTTGCTCTTGAGTTTACATTGGGTGTGGATAATGTATTAAATCCTTATCTTGTTGACTTCAAAAACAGAGTAATACCATGGCATAAATGCTTATCTGAGTTTGTCTGGCAGTTAGAGATGAGAGAGGTACTTCAGGATTTTCTAGCTTCACTGCAGCTGTGCTTGGGGAAAAATTGCACAGGTTGCTTTGCAAAACCTATATGAAGTCACCAGCAAGCTGAGATGGAAGCAAGGACGGCAATGGGCACACAGCATTATTGGGAATTTAAATCCACCACGGAGAGTTTTGTGCAAGTAAATGCAATTCTTGTCAAAATTCTCAATGCTGTTGGATAGCATGAGGAATTTCAGTACCAATCGTCATGGTGACTTCTATCACCATACTCTGGTATTAGTGATGGTAGGATGTGTGGTAGAAGCAGCTTTAAGGAGAACCTTCAAGCACTTTAAAAACATTGACCTTTTTATCTTTTATCAAGCCCATGAATCATTCCAAAGCTCATGGCAGAGAACACTAGCTATCTGTTTTGCGTGTTTCTACAGGTCTCTACCTATCCTCATTATACATGCTTGATTGAGAGTCAGGATTAACAGATGCTTTAGCTCAACACAGGCTATGTTTTGACAAGTGAAGTGACTTGTTGAATATGCTTGATTGACATTTCTTGCGGTTACAAGATGTTGTTCTTTCTGTGATCTCTTTTTTCAACGTCTCAATGTTTATTTGTACAAGATTAAGAGATGTTAAGACTTGGTATACAGTTTATGTAAATCTAAAACTATCGCAGTGGGTGTTGGGACAGGAAAAGATCATTAAAAAGTACTACAGTGTGGAGCTAGAGGAACACAGCAGGCCAGGCAGCATCAGAGTAGGAAAGTTGACGTTTCAGATCGGGACCGTCCAGTTCCACACTGTGTTATCTCTGACTCTAACATCGGCAGTTCTTACTATCTCTAATTAAAGAATACTAGACTGTTGATAGTAGAAACCCATTGGGGAATTGAGAACCATTTATGTAGCTAAATCCACAACAGTTTGAATAAAATTAACGTTTCATGATTTTATCAGTTCAGGGGAAAACCATTGGCAGAGAAATAAGGTTACATTGATCTTCAGATTTTAAATAACTGGAAAATAATCTAACCACTCTTGAGTAACATATTGCTGTATTAAGTCGTCTAGTTCTAGAACAGTTACATTCTAACTGTAAGTTTGTTGCTTTTATATCTAAAGTAATTCCAGGGAAGTTCAAAGCTGTGGTGATAACAAAAACAAGAAAAGGGCTGCAGAAATATACCTCAAATCTCATAACCTCCAGTAAAGAAAAACAGGTTAATGTCTTGTGTTAGAGGTCCTAGCAAAAAATGGAACAAAAGTATGTGAGCCCCTTTTTAGAGCTTACCAAACAAAGAAAGGAAAAGAGCAATTTGTAAAACTCTAAGTCAGAAGCACTGAGCCCATTTATACTTGTTTGGGCACACGCAACTATCAAGCAAGCCCCCATCCATATACAGGGTGTCGCCATTTACAAACATCCAACTAATGAATGGTCAAACTTATGAACATGATCCCTTATAGGGGTCATTTTAAAGACCCGATGTACGAATGTTTCCTGTATTTATGAACAGCTGCTTTACATTGTCCAGCATTGTCTTCTGACTTGTGTACAAATTGACTTGAAAGTAGACCCCAGAATGGAACCTGTTCACAATGCTAGAATGCTTGTATGCTGTAAAATTGATTTCTATGCGCAGTGTTAGAGGAGACAATTGCAATTAGCCAACACGTACATGGTTTAGGATGGAGATAAAAAGATCAGTCTGTCTTGTTTTGATTGCTGCTAAGTAGTTCTGAGTTGCAGATGCTAGGAAAGGTCAGGCCAGGCACAAAGCCTTTACCATATTGAATTCCTTATCCATGCTTTATTAAAAAATTCATTCCAGGAATGAGATGCCACTGCCAATGACAGTATTTGCTGCCAACTACCCATTATACAGCAGTGGTGAGCAATCTTCTTGACAACTGCCTGTATCGCTCAGCCAGTATAGAGGGCAGTGAAGAGTCAGAGAGATGTACAGCATGGAAACATACCCTATGGTCCAACTAGTTCATACCGACCAGACACCCTAAATTAATTTAGTCCCATTTACCGGCAATTGGTCCAAATCCTTCTAAACCGTTCCTACTCATGTACCCATCCAGATGCCTTTTCAACATAGTAATTGTACCAGCCTCCACCACTTCCTCTGGCAGCTCATTCCATACACTCATCACCCTCTGCATGAAATGTTTGCTCCTTAGGTCCCTTTTAAATCTTTTCCCTCTCACCTTAAACCTATGCCCTCTAGTTTTGGATGTACCTACCCTGGGGAAAAGACCTTGGGTATTCACCCTATCCATGCCCCTCATGACATTAATAACTTCGATAAGGTCACCCCTCAGCCTCCAACGCTACAGGAAAAAATAGCCCCAGCATATTCAGCTTCTCCCTATAGCACAAACCCTCGAACCCTGGCAACATCCTTGTAAATCTTTTCTGAACATTTTCAAGTTTCACAATACCCTTCCTACAGCAGGGACACTAGAAATGAATGCAGAATTCCAAAAGCGGCCTAACCAATGACCTGTACAGCCACAACATGACCTCCCAACTCCTATACTCAATGTACTGACCAATGAAGGCAAGCATACCAAATGCCTTCTTCAGCATCCTGTTTACCTGCAATTCCACTTTCAAGGAACTATAAGCCCGCACAACAAGGTCTCTTTGTTACCAACACTCCCCAGGACCTTACCATTAATTGTATAAGTCCTGCCCTGACTTGCCTTTCCAAAATGCAGCACCTCACATTTATCTAAAATAAACTCCATCCACCACTCAATCACATTGCTGTGGGTATGCTGTCACATGTAGACCAGACCAGATAAGAGCAAATGAATTCCTTCTCTAAAGGACGTTTGTGGACCAGATTTTTGTTAAACAATCCAATAATTAGATACTCCCCACTATTATACTATCCCTTTATTACAGACATACCTAATTAACTGAATATAAACACTCTAGTTGATACGGTAGGATTTCAACTTGTATTCTCAGATCAGTAACTCAGTCCTAAGTAACATAATGACCATGCTGACATTTCATGACACCTAACCCAGACTCAGTCAAGAAGAATAAGCACTTGAGTAAGGCAATGTACTTAGAATGGCTGGTATGTATGGACAGTGCCCTAGCTGGAAACATTATATTCAGCAGACAGAGAAAATATAATTGTCATAACAACAGACAAATTCATGGCTCTAACTAATTGAAAAATGGCTTTTCCAAGTAAATTGCACAGGTCCCTTCATTTACCACCCTAGACACTATGGGCTATTTAGCATAACCAATCCACCTAACCTGCACATCTTTGGACTGTGGGAAGAAACTGGAGCACCCGGAGGAAACCCACGCAGACACAGGGAAAATGTGCAAACTCCACACAGACAGTTGCCCAAGGCTAAAATTGAACCCAGGTCCCTGGTGCATTAAGGTAGTAATGCTAACCACTGTGCCACCCCAGCAGAATCCCTACAGTATGGAAGCAGGCCATTTAGCTCATTGAGTCCACATTGAAGAGCATCCCACCCAGACTCAACACCCTACCTTATTCCCTGAACCCTGCATTTCCCATCGCAAACACACCTAATCTGCACACTAGGGGAATTTAATTTATTAATTTAAAATTAGTAACTACAAATCTCTGAAGGAATTAAATATAAAAAGAACACATGCTTTTTAAAAATGCAAACGTTTTATTTTTCTCAACCATACCACTAAACTTTAGAATGAACAGAATAAATGCCAGAAACGTGTCTGCAGTACTTTTCTTGGGAATCTTTTATATTTGTATCAATGGTATTTGAATATAAATTTCAAATTTCAAATGCATACAGAATAATACCAACTATAAGTCAGTAAAAGAGTATTCAGTGAACTGTGAAAAGTCCGGTCTCAAACATGGTTTTAAATAGAACTTATAATAATTACCATCGCTATCTTGACCTGACTTTGGCACTGTACATATAAAAATAAATCCAGGTTATAAAATATCTCTACTTTTCCTCAATGGTTAAGTTAGTGAAAGTGAAGTATAACCAGACAGAGTACACCAGAAAACCAGATAATGTAACCCAGACAATGTAACTGTTCTTCACTGATTCCAACTAAGGTGACTGTAGAGGTGTTCCCATTTGGTGGTCCTGGATGAGGAAAATCAGTTGAAGTTCTTCATTTGTGACATTTGATCAAGGATGTATATATGGCTCATAGGTCAAGATAATAGCGTGTCTAGCTATAATGTTTCCATGCTGTACCCTCCCCAACCCCAGCCCGACATCTCCACCGTCACCCCCACCCCAGCCCGACATCTCCCCTGCCACCAGGCTACAATCTGCTGGTATTCACTGTCTTGGCTTCCCTGTGAAGAATGGCAACTCGGGCAAGAAATCATACCAATAAATGGGTCACAGTATTTGAGAATACAGAATAAGGAGAGAGAACTATTTTCAAAAAATTAAATTCAATTTAAAAATATTTTCATCTATAAATGATTACCAATTCTGATGGTTCTCCAGACCTCCACTGACAACTCATTTGCTTACTTATAAATTCAGATTCAGTCTAAGTTATTTAGAACAGGCACATTTTTCTGAACATCATCTTCCTGATGTGTGCAAATAACTGCCAGAGTACTGAATGTAAGTGTTGAATATTCCCGTTGGTGGTGTGAATTACCAAAAATTACAATTCAGTAATTCTTCCTAGATTCAAAAGTACCGCAGATATTATGTCAGTTGCAGTTGTTCAAACATATTTTCAGCTTTAACATTGCCTGCACATAGGGACATTGGAAAAGAGAACAATTTATCATAGGAGGTTTGAAGCACAATCTGAAAATTCACATTAATCATTACTTCATTTTCCAACAAAACATTGGCCTCAAGTTGTCTCCACCTGTAACAAATGGGGCACTAAAGAAACAAAATGACAACTTTAAACTTAACATTAATTCAAATAATTAAAGGCTTTTGCTTTTTGGTTAGTTTAAAGAGTTGCCAGTTAAATGTGAACTTTTTAAGTAGTGGGGGTTACATACTATTGGATTCAATAGGTTTCTGGGCTTAAGTATTTACATGGAAGAATATGTTGGAACATCAGCAATTTATAAGGTTATCTAACAGCATTTTAAATAACATTTAGATGAATTAATTAATCTATTATATAGTATTTCATGACAAGATTAAATATCAGAAATTTGGGTATGGGCCTGAATGAATAAAAAGAAATCCACTGATTCCATCCCCATCTCTAACACCCAGTCACACCATCACCCAAATTCCACCTGTGCACTTGTCACTTGAACAGCCAACAAAGAATGATTATATTTCATCCTTTAATGCTGTTTGGAAATTTTTCTGCTTGGTGCAAGCTCCATTTTTACCAAAACAGAGAAAATCTTCTAAATAGTCTCGATTGTTCCTGAATTCCCTGTAAATGTCCTCTTCTGTAAACTCACCGAGGTAAGCCTGGCACATTTTGAACAACCTGTAGGAGTTAGACAGATGTATTAATGATCCAAACAAGAGAAATACAATAAAAAAAATTGAAACATAACAAGTAAATGGAGGATATCTAAAGGAACAGATAATTATTGGAAAGACACAATAAATTTGTCAGTATTTGAAAGAGAAAATGTCAAACATTGTACTGTCTTTCAAATACTCATAGGCTGCTGCATGTTTCCAAATTACATTTGTGAACAGAAGAAACTATGGGTTTCTAATCTCTATCTTGCTGTTTCAACTTTATTTATACCTGAGAATCTGCATTACAAGTTATCAATATAATTCTTTGACTTTTTTTCTAAATTACCTTTTCTGTATTCATTTGTTTAATTATCCCAATACCACAATTTTTTTCCAATTTGAATTACTGAGTAGACAACCTGCTCACAAGTCTGCAAATCCTGTCCTTCAGCCAGAAAGACATTTAGGAGGATTATTATTTGATCCTTCCTAGCTCAATTTGTAGCACACTGATCAGGTAATTTAACACATAGTTGTGTGTAAAATCTTGCCAGTTGTGGTTCAATTAATGGAATTCCGAACACTTCTGAATTAGAAAGTTGTGGCTTCAACTCCCTGTCGGTAATGTGATCACAAAATTCAACATTGACTCTCCATGCTGTACTAATGAGCTCTTGTGGCAGTGATAGCATCCCTATGTCTGAGCCAGGAGACCTAGGTTCATGACCCACCCACTTCAGAGGTGTGTCATGACATCTCTGAACAGGTTGATTAGACAATACTATAGAGTACTGCAATTCTGGATTTAGAGATACCAGCTTCTGGATGAGACATCAAACAGGCCCTGCCTAGTCTTTCAGAGTGTCATAGCATTCTGTGGTCCTATGAATGTAAACTATCCCATGGAATTATTTCAAATAAGAGCAGAGTTATCGTGGCTGGGTGCTGGCCAATATTTATCCCTTGATCCCTTGATTAACAGCCTACAAACAGATTATCTGATAATTATTATAAAGCTGTTTATGGAGCTTGTGGTGCATAAATTGGCTGCTGCATTTCCTAAATCAGCCATTACATTTCATTAGCCGTAAGTGCCTTGAGTTGTGTGATGGTCTTGAAAAGTACGATATAAATGCAAGATTTTCTTTCTTTGCTGTGCACAAAATGATTTCCTGTTTTACATTATGTCAGTACTGTTGATGTACAGTATTTATGAGCATTTTGAAACATTTCTAAGCAACGTAAAAATGTGTTGCATAAATGCAAGCGATCCTTCACACACGATTGTATCAGTAAAGCAATCTTCATGATGAAGCTTTTGATGGTGTCAGCTAGACAACTGAAAGTCCCCTTAAGAATACAAATCTGTCATTGTGTGAGTGAGACATATCAAAATAGGTGACATCTTTAACTGAATTACTACCACATCCTTTCTATTATTTCTGGAAATTCACTGTGTTGAAATTACACGGATAAAATTGTCTAATTGTGAAGCAATACAGAAAACATTCCCCTGTAATACTTCAACATATCAACTACATTTATCAAAATATAAATATATTACACCTCAAAATCTCTTAAGTGAAGGGGCGACAAATGTGCTGTATACTATGGAACATAATGGCTACTACACTTTAGTTACTCAAATTTCAGTTTTTGTAATATTTTTACCGTCCTGGCCATGGTCCACTCATCACCATCACTCCCGTAAAATCTTCAGTCTCCAGTCCAGGGCCTGACAGACGTTTAACACCATTTACCTCTATTACACCATGCCTGCAAAGCATCAATGGAAAAAAATATATAACTTGCACAGGGCTCTATGTCAATTAACAATGAGATATGCTCTTAATTATAATGCAGTACCAACAAAATCTAAATCCAATAATGTGGTGCAAGTCTTTTGGAGAAACATTGAAATCTTGACAAATGTACTCAACCGAATACCTGATTTAATGACAGACACAACAGCACGAGAAACATCTATAAATGCACACTTTGTATGTGTTCCAAGATATATCTAAGTACTAAAAATGTCATTAATATACAACAGAACTTGTAAAATAAAGATTGCCCATTTTCTTCTCCTCTTTTGAAATACCAACTTACAGAATTTGGGTATGACAGTATCCTATGGTACCTCAAATGACTATTCTTCAATATGTTAGGGAGAAGCTGGACTGTGACAGGCTTGATTGAGAAGAAATGAGCACTGGATTAAGTGATGATAGATGAAAAGTATAATGAATAAGAAGAAGCTCATTCACTGATGTACTAATCTGGGAATACTGTCTGATCTTGCTTTTGACCACATGTGTCTCTGTTCTGCCATTACAGAGCCAATAGAAAGTGTTATTTATTCTCGATGCTCTACAGTCATCAAACGTCAACATTGAACTATCCTTGCCAATTATCATAGTGTACTTCGGGCTTTGGGAAACTAGCCCATTCTGCTGAGAAAACTGTTTAAGTGTTCAATAATTACAACTTGTATCAAAATTTGAAAATAATTACCATTGTTCCATGCTGTAGATAATTCATAGAATCCCTACAGCATGGAAACAGGCGTTTTGGCCCAACAAGTCCACACCGATCCTCAGAGCATCGCACCCAGACCCTTTCCCCTACAGCCCACCTAATCTACACATCCCTGAACTCTATGGGCAATTTAGCAATGGCCAATCCACTTAGCCTGCACATCTTTAGACTGTGGGAGGAAACCGGAGCACCCGGAGGAAACCCACGCAAATATGGGGAGAATGTGCAAACTCCACACAAAATTCTAGAAAAATTTTTCAGATATGGGGCAAGTAACCTTAATAGACATTAAAAAATAACTGTAACCTATTCATATAGTTTCCTGGACTCTTTGAAGCCTGGAATAACTTGCAAAGACCTTGCACAAGCCCTGAAGCCGTGCTTGAGACCCCAATTTGAATAGAAGATGAACTCTTATTTAAGTAATTTCTTTTTATCTTTATCAAAATGGCACCAGATTGTGGCAAACAAACACTTTTCACTGTATCTTCAGGATGTATGTGACAATAAATAAATCATACAACAATCATTCATTAAAATTATTTCTTGACAAGACATTAAAATCTGAATAAAGACAATTCAGAACTCTTACAGACAAATAATTTTTAGAAACAATCAGTTATGTGGTTGTGGGTAACATCTAACCTTGTTCTATCAGATGTTTTTAAAACCCGCTGATCTGAACCATAATCAGTTGAACTTTTCAGTCAGATCTTGTTATATAATTGTTCATTATCTCAGTATCTATATAATCTTCACAAATCCAAAAACCTTTTAAGATCTCTGTGTTATTCCACCTCTAATATTTTGAATTTCATTACAGTCAACATGTAATTCACTTGACCAGACCTTAAGCTCTGGAATTCCTTTCCTACACTTCTCTAACTTTTTCTTCCCCTTTAAAAATCTCCTTAAATTGCTTTGAACAAATGTGCAGCTTCTTATGTGATTCAACATCAAATTTTGCATTATAACACTCCTGTGAAGCAACTTGGGATGTTTCATTGCATTCAAGCTGCTATATAATTACAAGCTGTTGTTGAGCTCTTAGTCCCTTACTATATAGTCACTTAAATGTCTGCAATAACTCACTCCAAAGTAGCTGCATTAACATAAAAATACAGATTATTATTGATGAAGAAATCATTCATAATTGCTGAGTTATGTTACATAATCCCGGTTCAAAAGTATTTTCATACATGACTATTCATTTTTTATGCCAGTCACATCATTGTCCAGGACAGGTAAGGAAGGGAACTATCTGGGATTGTGTAAAAGATCAACTGTCAGAAACTCACTTTTCCCAACTCTGGGAGCAGCATTTCTCCAAAGCATCGGTGTAATCGGATTCATTCAACTCTGCTTTCCCTTCTTTCACTGCAGAGATTTTTGATTCCCACTTCGAAAGATATTCCTGCATCTTTCCAGCACAGAGTCAATAACAATTGTCAGTGTTTAAAAGAGAAAAATGTCTGTTTTTTTGATAATCATCATACTTTTCTTCTGCATCTGCACAATGTACCATATTGGAATAGTGAACCCCCATTCTGAACCTAAGTCTCTTCATTAAAAGTATTTTTTGCAGTTCCAAACTCCAATGATAACCATCATGTTATTCTCAACTTTGAGTGAGCTTATGGAATAAAGTAACTTGAGTTCAGATAATCTTCAATTGCCAGTAGGATAAAAAGAGGAAGGAACTTGTTTGTTTTGTTCTAATGTTCTATATTGAAACAAAAAGCACCTGCGAAAGATCTGGCTTCCTCTATCAGCACTGCTTTTTAGAATGTATTCAAATATCACGCCAGCAGAAATACATTTGTTCTATAAATTAATTTAATAGTGACTAGTAATTAGTAAGTAATTATGTAGAAAGATGTCACACAGCAATTACATGTTGACTGTAATGAACATCTAACATTATTCATGAAGTTTTTTTAACAAATTCAAATATGTTTGCATGTACTGCTGTGGGACAGCCCCACATTATCTCTGCCATTGAATCACCCACAACTCTTTACGCTGAATGGTACAGCACTCAAAACAAATTTGCCAGTTTCATTTCTAGAAATCTTTAAAACTTAGTCAGACAACCGACAATAAAATAAAATTTAACTGTTTGACAGATCTGATTGTCAAAACTCATATAATACACAAGGAAATACTATTTCCTGGTCCACTCAACCAGTACAGATAGATATGACTACACTCTACTCCCTACTGCGAAGCTATCTAAAAATAATTTAAATTTACATAGAGTCTTTCAGGATGTCACAAATTTACACATAGTCGAAGACAAACTTTTAAAGTGTAGGAACAAAAACAGAAGTTACTGGAAAAGCTCAGCAGGTCTGGCAGCATCTGTGAAGAAAAAATCAGAGTTAACGTTTTGGGTCTGAGGAAGGGTCACCGAATCCGAAATGTTAACCCTGATTTTTTTCTTCACAAATGCTGCCAGATGTGCTGAGCTTTTCCAGCAACTTCTGTTTTCGTTCCTGATTTACAGCATCCGCAGTTCTTTCGGTTTTAAAGTGTACGCACCATTATATTGTAGGCATTTTGTATTTGTTTTAAAACATAAATATAATTTGTTATTAAAGTTTTGTCATATAGCACGGAAACAGAACCTTCAGTCCAACTCATCTATGACGACCAAGATTCCCAAACTAAATTAACTAGTCCCACTGTCTGCATTTGGCCCATATCTCTCAAAACCTGTTCTATTCATGTACCTGTCCAAATGTCTTTTAAATGTTGTAACTGTACCCATATCTACCACTACCTCTAGCAGTTCATTCTATACATGCACCACCCTCTGTGTGAAAAAGTTACCCCTCGATCCCTTTTAAATCTTTTCCCTCTCACCTTAAAATTATGCCCTCTAGTTTTGAACTTCCCTACCCTAGGGAAAAGACCTTTGCTATTCACCTTATCTATGCCTCTCATGATTTCATAAACCTTTATAAGGTCACCCCTCTATCTCCCACGCTCCAGGAAAAAAAAGTCACAGCCTATCTAGCCTCTCTGCACAACTCAAACCCTCCAATCCTGGTAACGTACTTGTAAATCTTTTCTGCGCTTTCCAATTTAATATAAACTTTAGTATTTGTACTGAAAACAATTTTGAATTGACAGAAATTGACTGTATAGCTATTTTGTGAACTTGGTTGAATTAAGTGTTATGAAGAAAACAATGATATATAGTCTCAGATAAAAGGCTGGCGTTCCAGAAAATAAAAGAACACTGAGTAAGTCTCTAAGTGAAGAGGCACAAATTCCAAAGAGCAGCCAGCAATCATACAGTGTATTCAACCTACCTGATAAGAAATTGCTCTGCAGGAGTCACACTTCAAATAATCGGGCATATGGCTAGAGTGAAACTCCTCGTCATTCAGATTAGGTGATTTCATCTCAACTGTCCCCGATTCTTGAAATTGCCCTGAACTTTGAGAAGCATACTCTCTCCGCTTACCCTTCTGACCAACTGCGTTGGTACTGTTGCACAGATATACAGTTAGAATTGCCACAATAAGAAATCTCATGGTGGCCGCTGTGATGATTATTTGCACTATATCTCAATCAAGGTTATTGAATGTACAGAAGCAAAGGCTGGCATTTAAGATTTCAAACGCTGACGTGGTACTCCTGGGTCTCCTTGTGCTGCACCAATCAGGAAATGAAAAGTAGCAGCTGTGTGGTATTAAAAGATACTGGAGAAGAAGAAAAACAGACTTGTTATAGAGGTGCTTTCTAATTTGGGAAATCAAAAATCAAATGTAACCCAAATACTTTCTGCTATCTTTCAAAAATTACTAGAATCAAAACACAAAATTCTGAGTTAAATAGTTATAGTTTCAAAACTTATTAGTCTCAAAGGACAGTTGACACTCATGCCAAGGAGAATCTTCTCGTCATCACAACACATGGACAATCTCAGGGTTGGGAGACAGCTGATACTTCTTGCCTTCATCAAACCTAACCTAATCTGTCCAATAGATAATGTGAATTTTTCCATCATTTTTGTTCCTTCCAGGTGAGGAACACCTGGTCTCCAGAGTGTACCATGTGATTTGAATACATGGATAGCCAAACGATCATGCAGCAAGGATTGTTTATTTCACTAGCACCAGGTCATTGCAAATATGAAGAGAAATTAAAATTAAACAAAACAGTATTTAAATGGAATGAAGCCTGCAGCTTACATTGGGTTGAGGAACACTTTGTCTGCTCCTTCCCCTAAATCCACCTTCAACCAAAGAGAGTTTATTTTTCCAGACAGGATCCATTCAACTGCTCCAGCTGCCATGCTGCACTGTTGCCACTTGCTGCTGGAAGTCCTGGCACATCAGCTGAGCACCCTCCCTCACTGTCACCATCCATTGCTGGAGGTTCTGTTACAGACCTTCTTGCTTGAAACTTGCTATCTTGGCAACTACACATAGCACATGGTGACCGTATGCTTAGCAGTTGCATAATTAACAGGTTTAATAGTGTCATGATGGCTAGAATGCTCAATTCCAGCATTGTCTTCTTGCATCTTCTTGATGTAGGCAAATGGTAAGGGTTGGGGAGAAAGCCATAATTTGTTCAAGATCTTTTCAGCTCCTTATCTCTACTGATACCTTCTGAAGGATTCCAGCTTTGTGGTGAATCACCCATGTAGGGGTCTCGGTCGGTCAGGTCTCCAGAAGTCATATGATCAAAAGCACCTGTTGCTCCAGTTTCTTCCTCCCTAAAGGTTGCTCCTATGTCATTTTCCAGGGCAGCAGTAGGCCTCTCACACTAGATTCACTCCCCTGGATTCACAAATACAGGTCATACCAGGATTTCACATTGCTACCTGACTCCACTTCACCCAAACCATCCACACACTGAGACACCAAGTTCTGCTATACCACTGAGGGGACTGCATACCTCTGTATCATACACAAAGCTTCTGGCCTCAAGCAATTTCTGTCTGTGAACTGTTTCTTGAGGCTGCCCTCCACCTATTGTGACCACTGTGTATCAAAGTCCCACATATCCTGTATCTTATTTGGACTCCCGATATTCCAATTTTGGAAGGTAAAGTAGAGAATAGCCTATGGACAAGTGTGGGTGTGGGGTGGGTTGATATTATGAGCATAAACTAGCTCTGGAAGGTACTCAGGCCACTTCTGTTTGTTCTCAGTAAGTATGGTGCACAGATGGTCATGCAGAGTGTAGTTGAATCATACGTATTGCTCATTACACTCTGGAAATGGTGTGGCTCTTGGCAATGCCATTGATTTTGCAAAGTTCCTTAGCATCTTGATCTTGACGTTGTTTCCCTGATCACTGTCAGTCTGACATGGAACAATGGCACAATCACTCACTAAATCTCTCAACGCTACAGTTAAGGCCTTTTGGTCATGGATGGAAATTGCCTAAGGCTGGTGAACTTGGTGAACACATCCCATGACTATGAAAACATACTGAGTCTCATTATTACTGGGGAAAGAATGGTAAAATACATCGTAAGGACCTCTAGAGGTCTCTTGGTGACCAAGCATCTCATGCTATGATGAAGTCATTTCTCTGCTTCAGCCAAAGTTTATCTCTCACACTTTTGACAGCAGTCATCAATATCAACAGCTCTCTGACCAGGGCAGTCATCTTTTCTGTGGCTTGATATCCTGCTTGATTATGAATTGCCATCAACAATTAACACCTGAGGTTGTTGGGAAAGATGAGTTCTTCATCTCCCTCTCTCCTTGTTATGAACCACACAATCACTCCATCCTTTTCCCTGATCCTCTTCTAGTCCTTCAACGTTTTCTGTGGCAGAGGTTGTTGATTTGCTTACTGAGCTGGCTTGTTTTTGTTCGGACGTTTCGTCACCATGCTAGGTAACATCATCAGTGAGGCCTCCGATGATGTGATGTTGTTCTACTCTGCTTGGAATTTATACTGTCTGGTCCATTATGGTGAGTAGTGTCATTTCCGGTTTTATTCTGCATGGCTTTGTATATGGGGTCCAATTCTATATGTTTGTTGATTGCATTGTTAACTGGGACAATGTACCATAGTAGCCCAAGCCAAACATAGACACACACGGGAATTCCCAGAGGCATGGTTCTCAACCCGTAATGCAATCAACAAACATATAAAATTGGACCCCATATACAAACCCAAACAGAACAAAACCAGAAATGACACTACTCACCATAACGGACCGGACAGCATAAATTCCAAGCGGAGAACAATATCACTTCATCGGAGGCCTCACTGCTGATGTTACCTAGCATGGTGACGAAATGTCTGAATGAAAACAAGCCAGTTCGGCAAGCAAGTCAACAACCTCACCCACAACCCCAGCTACAAATCTTTGCTAAAACCTTAAAGTTTTCTGTGACTGTTTGGACTGTCATCAGTTGACACTAGGTGGGTGAATGCTGGGCCTTCCAGCAATAGTGCAGTCCACTAATGCCAGCATCAATCAGCTGAAACTGTCTTATGTCCTTCTTTAAGATAGATTGCATAGTTACATACTCGCGTGACTCCGTCTGGATCTGGTTTGGATCTCACTCAAAAGTGCATTAGTGACAGTGCACTGATTCTTAATTCAAATATCATAGCAAAATGGGTTGGAATGTTGCCTTTGACTTGGGCATGAGAATGGTGTCAATCAACAGGGCCCTCTAGCCAGGCATGGAAAGTTTTCTAAGGTCATCAGCATGTACATTATTTTTCACAATCTTGAATTGAGATGGTGTGAATTCAGCATTCATTGTGTCTCTGTTGCTTGAAAATTCTGCACTGATCAGAATATCTCTGAACTTCTAGAAAATACCCCACCTCAAGGTTGGCAGTTTGAGTTTCATATTGGAATAATGTTCTACATTCCTTTTGTTTAGTTTTATACTCAGATTGGCATGAGCAATAACCACTCCTTTCTGCCCTTGAACCTGTGGTAGTACATTTCCAGGTGAAGGAACGTAGTGTTAATTTCCAATACAAAAGGCAGTTGGAAATCTAGATAGCCATCACAAGTGATGAGACAAGCTTTCGCTTCAGGATGCAAACGGAGTCTTCTGCTGGCATCAAATTCCCAATGACACTCCATGAAATATCCAACCTCACACATTGTTTCCCAACCACTCCTACAGCATTCTCTGATTTTCTCAGCAAATCAAGGAACAGAGCAGCCAACTGTACACAGCCTTGCACAAATCTCCTATACTAACCAGCTATATCAATAAACCCAAACAGTCCCTCCTTGTCTTAGGCCAAGGCCACTCCTCTATCTACGAAAATTTTCTCACCATCAGGATTAATGCCTTCCATGGTAACAGTGTCCAAGGTACCATACTTTTGTCCTGACAAGTTCACAGTTCTCTGGTTTAAAGTATTCCAAGTTAAACTGTAGCAAATGGGCTAAGAATGTCTAGTCTTGCAAGGATCTTCTCAAATGTCAATCTGAAAATGAGTATGTTGTCCAGGTACAATAGGAGGGACTGAAAATTAAGACTGTCAAAAGCTTTATCCGCCACACTCATGAAGATGGCATTCTCATGTATTCATAAAGTCCCCCAGTACCTGTTCAGAATGCTGACTTGTTCAGGATACATAGCTGTTATAACTGTGAGTCAAACCAAGGCTGCAGAAGTAATTGGCTCCTATGAAAACTTACAATGTTTCCTCAATCTTAGGTGGAGGATAAGCATCCTTATGGTCTTTGTGTTGAGGGCGTTACAATCAACATATATCCTCAGCTTTCTGTCTTTCTTCTTGACAATAACTATGGGGGTAAGTGTACAGTCTTGAGAACTCAGGACATTTCACTCCAAAGATATTTGCAGGTAGTCCCAGACTTCCTCCCAGTGATGTGGTGGGATCTGGCAGTAAGGAATCTTTACTGGACAATCATCTTTAATTACAATCCTGTGGCTTACCATGTCACAATATCCGATGTCATCATTATCTTTACTGAAAGTTTTCCTGCACTTGGTCAGAGTAAAAACAAGCTACCTCCCCTAATTCTCCTCCAACTCACCAATGTGCATCTTTAAAATGAGAGTACAGATATCTCCCTCAGTCAGCCAATTGCTGACATCTGTGCCTGAAAACAGAGTTGACAGCAGTCTCGATTGAATCTCAGCCCTATCACAATTCCAATACCTCTATGGAGCAGTCCTTGGATAGGATCATCCTTGAGGTTTATCAGAGATAGGGCAGCAAGGATTGGATTTACACTTGTCATGCAGCAATCTGTTCCACCTGCTTCTTCAACATTAGGTTTATATCCCCGCCCTGCTGACAACCACCTCCCTGATGGTAGCTTCTTTCCTGGACTTAGAATGCCAATCATTCCTGTGATCTGGATGATGTGATCCCAAACTTCAAAGAAAGTTAATTGAGTTTTGTCACTGTTAAGTCTCCTTAACTTCATCTGGACATTCTCACCTTTATTTCTGCTCAGTGGCCCATCAGTAGCTCTTCCTAATTTAATTTGAAGGAGGGATCCAGGAAAATGATGCAATTAAACAACTTTACCAGCTTCAGGAATATGAGAAACAGATCTTCTCCTTTGGCTTGCTTGTACTCAAACTGTCCCCAAAAACCCTTATCAGTACCTCAAAGATCTGATGTGAATTTCTTTGAACATCTGTACCTCTGCCAAGTATTTCCTAAAGGGCTTTCTCTATAGTTACATCATAAATGCCAGATACTCACTCATGTTGAGGCCCCT